CCCCCCCCCCCCCCCCGCCCCACACCCCGAGATGCGCCACACGGAGAGGGTGTGTTGTCGCCAAAATACAGCTGAGCCTTGAACGACTCCGGCCTCAAGCGTGCAGTTTCACCCACATGCGAGTTTTCTGGGTTTTTGTGTTTGTTTGTGTTTGTTTTTGTTTTGCACAATGACACCACACCACTCCGAGTGCGTTTTCTCTCCCTTCCCATTTTCTTAATCACCTTTCCTTTTCTGTAGCTTCCTTCATTGGAAGAACACAGCGTCTTCTACTTGATACACAAAGTAGGGGCCAGCGCGCCGTTCCTGGGACCCGTGAGGTTCTGGGTCCACACTCACGAACCGTGTGCGAAGCCGCAAGTGACAAGCCGGCTTTCCAGGCTGGGGGCACTTGGCCCCCGCTCACCCCCACGTTGTTCAAGATCCAACTGTACTTTTCAGTTCCGCCCTCTAGCCGCTAACGGAGGGGGGGGGGTGGGGCTCTGGGTCAGACCCTGAGAGCCTCAGCGGTGAGTAGGAAGAAGAGATTGTTTTCGGGGAGCCCCACCCTCCCCAACCTCCACTCAGGGAAGTGAATCTTTGATTTTTACCTGAGTTTTGCGTCGTCTGATACACTGGAGTTTGGTATTTTCTAACACATTTATAGGCAGTAGAAGCCAAGGCAGCGGAGGTGGGGGGTGACGAGCCAGCCAGTACTGGGAAGTCAACTGGTGCCTTTTAAATCAGCTTGGGCACAGTGACAAGCTACGGGCAAGCCGCCCCAAGTTGTAGGACGTGGTGGCTTCTGTGTTTCCATGTGATTTCGCTTTTAGACGGGCCCCTTAGATGGGCTCTGTCGCCTGTGTAGGAGCCCGTCCACGGGGTTCCCAGAAAAGACAGGGTCAATCTGGCAACGGGATTTGAACTTGCGTGTTTCAAGAACTTGTTTCTGTGTGTCGGAGCTGACGGCTTGGTCTGGTCTTTCCACTTGTTGATTAAAAAAAAACAAACAAACCAAAAAAAAAAAAAAAAAAAACG